CTCAAGCCTCTTCTCAAAACGGAGTCCAGAACAGAGAATGACACGTGGCTACTAAAAACTCCAACTGAGAAAAGTCTCCAGATAAAGATGGGCAGCGCTCCTGCAATAGCTTCAACCGCTGAAGGCTGACACCTGGCAGCTCCTCCTTTGCCCCAGACACGCGAGATGTTTCTGAGCCCTGACGTGGAACGCGCTGCTCCTGCCCTCTTCAACACCACAGGCGCCACCACAAGGACCTGCATCTCCTGCGCGTTGCACCCTAAAAACCCCCTTGCTTCTAGATCAAGCACCTCAGCTTAAAGTCCACGAAGACTGTGGAGTCTGCTCTGAAGACAGGCTCCATTTCATCAACAAAAAATGGGACAGAGTAGGAGTTGGGGCGCAGGCACTACAGTGGCTCTTGATTTTTCAGGGGAAAAAACAGGTTCTCTGAATCACAATAGCAAATACTCTTAATTGCACTAATGAGCTGTGCCTCAAGTAAAGGTGGGGAAGGAAGAGCAAAGAGTTTTATGCACTTTTATCCTTGATGGCACGGCAGAGGATGACAGGAGACACTGATCCCACTGAGTAATAGAGGTTAAATTATCTCCTCTGCCCACTTCTACTACAGCTAATTAAGTCATATAGACCAGGGAAGCTAAAGGTATTCAAAAGAAGCATATTAAGCCTTTCATGTTCTTAAAAAAAAAAAAAAGGCAAGATTTAAAAGAAGAAATTAAGACCGAAAGCCCTTCAGAATCATTTCTGTTACTTTCACCCCCCAAGAGCAGAGACAGCAGCTGCTACGGCCACAGAGACAATCCTATATTGAGCAACAGAAGAAAGCGCTTTTAGACCATTGCCATACAGCTGCTGACTGGTCATATCAGAGCGCTGAGCTTATATCTTCGCATAACACGGGAGTCCATATCCCTTAGCTTCACAGAAACAAAGTCAAAGGCATGATCTGCACTGATCTATACCTACTCACACCTGGAGGCCAAGGCAGTTGAGGTGGTCAGTTGTATTAGCGGCACCTGCTATCAATCTGGCGACACGAGGGTTGTCTGGGGGTTTTTTAGCACAGGCAGGAATTATGACTTGCAGTAATACACAGGAATTCAGCAGCTGAAGATGCAGCTCTGCAAATTCTGAAGGACTGAATTGTTGGCACAACAGTAGCCCAAGTGCTGTTACAAAGTGCCTTTGCAGCTTTGAGCTCATAAAATTACATTATTCGTTGCCTCTAAGATTAATGTACTTTTACCACAGAAATGATCTTAACTTTTGTCAAGGAATATAAAGAGCAGCTGCTTGACACATCATTAAAGAAACAAGTCTGCACAATTTCCATATTACAGATAATCTTATTTAAAAAATCTGATAATTCAAGGAGATTACAGGGCATCTGCATTCTCACTCATTTACATTAGATGCCAAGAAACCATAAGACTGTTCTGTTTCGGTTCCAAAGCTATTTTTCAGACATGGTACTGAAGAATAAAATACCTGAGAGAGCTGGAAAGTAAGTGGGTAGTGAGAAACAACCTTAAGTGTTTTTGTGTGGCAGGGGAGATGCAGAAGTTTGGGAAAAGTGAGTTATCTAAAACCATGCAACAAATTTTAAGTGACACACAAGTTTGTTTGGCAAGATGTGTCTTCAAAACCGTGCTGCTCTCGTTCCAGAACCTCTGCAATATCCTATTTGAAATGGAAAGAAATTAATCTTTGGGAAGTGAAATCAATTTTTAAAAAGCATGGATATGCACATATCTTCACAAGTCCCGGACTAGCCTTTCCCACTCTTCCCTCCTCCCAGAGGCAAAATTTTGTGGTACACCTTTCCAACATTGCTAACCCATTCCCCATGCATGACCCTGCAAGTGCAGGTGAAGCGCTTACCCATGAAAGGAACAGCTAAAAAGGAGCATTAACTTGCACTACAGCCCATCCATTTCCCAAAATAGAAATTGCACTTTTATTCCAGATTTTAACCATCTTCGTACAAGAAAGTTGTTTTTCTTTGGATGAGAGGCAAGGACACTGTAATTCTTGAACAGACCATCAGGAAGGGAGTTCCCCCACCTTTTCCGCCTGGAAGGGGAGAAGGGAAGGAGCAGTAAAAAAAAAAACAACCAGGTTCATGGAAGATGTAAAGTTAATGTTGCCAAAGGATAACCACTGAAACAATAATAAAAACAGACAGGAATGTCAAGGGGGCCCAGGGGAAGAGGTGGGAAAGCAAGGTGAGGAATACAGAAGAGGTCCAGTGAGAACCGTTGTTTTACACCCAACACGAAAGCATGGCTGCATGACAACCCTCCACCTTCATCATTGCTACGTTTTGCTAGAAGATAGAAATATCAACATCCTCCAACAGCCTACAAAGCTCAAAATTTAAGGGGTAGGGGAAAACGAGCATTAAAATATATATATACACACACCAAGGGAGCAGCATAACCAGGATACGCAGTTTTTACTGTTCGAGAGAGGTCAATACCAGCATTCACAGAAGAAACTTTTCTTTGGTCACTAAATCAACACACCTGTCACTTCACGATCAAGTGCGTACTTCATATGAATAACCTCGCATCTGCTTACTTCCCAAGTCCCCCAATTCTGGGAAAGACAGCTTGTCAATCCATCATCACGCTTCACATGTTAGACCGCATCTTCCCTTGTATTACCAGTACGTTATTTTCTCCTGATTTTTTGCACCGTAACTCCTCAGTGCCATCCAAAAAACACCACCTGTAGAGTAGCTGCCACTTGATTGCTCCTTGCTAGTCAGCCGAACAAAGGTTTTCATCCCCAACTGAGATAAGAAGTCATCTAGAACTCACTACTGAAGACCCTTTACTTTCTCAAAACACCATCTGTCAACAGCCCTGCAATCCAGAAGCAGGAACTCGGCACTGAAAACGGCAGCAGGTGTTTTTCCCTTACGGAAAACAGCCACCACATCGGCGCCAGGCTAGGAAACAGCCTGTTGATGAGGCTACGTGGTAATACGCAAAAAAAAGTTGCTCCAGAGGTAGAGCGCACAACCTTGCTTCACAACGCGTATTGTGGCATTCGCACGAGTGTCTTACAAGCAGGTTAAGCAGGCAGGCTTTTTTAGTAGTTAAGACATGGAGTAATCCAGTGGTTTGCGGGGCTAAAACATCAGGAAAAATATCTGTTCTTGCTCAAATAACAACCCAAGAGGCGGCCCTAAAAAACTGTATGTGACAGGGACCATTTTGGGTGGGGGCAAGGGAGGCGCACACATTCGTAGCTTACGGAGGAACCACAGGAGAGGGAACCGGTGACAGGACACCCGCTTCTTCTAAGAACAGATCCCAAACAAGCAAAATGCATTTAGCTCCGACAGCTGTAAGTTACTGCTTATCCACACATGACCGACAGAAGTGGTTCGTATCGTTACTAAAGCTGTAGCCTCGGTAATTACGCTTCAAGAGGAAACCTGGAAAGGGCCCACATCAGTAGGTTAATCAAGAGCATCGCTCCAGAGCTACCAGTATCAAGAAACTCCTTTTTCTACGGCCCATCTACTGGGCAACACAAGGTATAACAGTCACAGCTGGAGTTTCGAAAATTTCTGCTGAACGGCTCTTTCTGTTTCACCTGTCTTCTGTTCCCGAACCCGATTTTGACTGCGTGTACCAGAGTGACAGGGGAAGCTAAGATATAAGATCACGCAAAAGAGACAGTGAAAGATGAGAACTTCAAAGGCGTACTAGAGAGCGTCTAAACCTATGTTTTGTGCAACATTTAACCGCACCAGCAATTAACATCATAGACGACAGAAGCCCTTGTTAAATATTCAGCATCTGTGACCTTTCAGTTAGCGAGAAAGAGCTCACGATAAGCGCCCCAAGACATCCAACAGCAAAGATGCCTTAAGGAAAAATACTGTAGTATTCAGGCAGTCTTTATAACAGATTAATAAAAAGAGGCAATTATACCCTCTCCTTTTAAGCTAGCACAAATAACCTTTCAATAATTCTTGTATCCTGTCAACAGGATATATTTTGAACTGTTCTCAAAGAAATACTATCAGCATAAGTAACCAGTCTTTAAATTTCACTGTATTACTAATTGGAGTATCGAAGAGCATATATTTTATCACCCGTCAGCATCACATTTTACACATCTTTGACAGTGAAGACAGATCAGTCGGCTTCGCTATGATCCAGGCACCAGGGGAGGATTTAAGCAACTAATGTACGTTAGGAGCAAACATACTGTACAACCCCCATTTAAGTGTTTGAACCGCAGTTTTGAAGGCTTAACTTCACATGACCCAGTCTTGAACATTTAGAGGCTTGCACTACACAAAGCTTTAGGTGGCCCCAAAAAGCTATCAACAGCACGACATCTCAACTACTATTTTATCTCCAATTTCTTTACACTGGCAAACACAATTAAGGCAACTTAGCCAGCGGCACCTCCAATTGTCTGGAATAACACTATAACAAGGGATTTTAAGGGCCAGAAAAGGCAATTATGCCACCTACGCTAGTTCTGTGTCCTGCACATCGCAGGCTGACAGCCCCCGGGTCGCAGCACGAAGTCTTCGTCTGATCAAAGTTCTCGCTACGCTGTTCAGCAACAAGCAGCTGTTTTGAGTAAGCACATACAAGCTGTAGAAAAGATGCAGCAGTTTTTCGGTCGCTTGCACTGTCTCCACAAATGCCATAACTTAACCCCCTTTTTTCCACGACGGACCCAGGGGATTGGCTACGGTGAGAAAAATAAATCAGTCACCGGAGGGGAGCTCGTGTTTATCCTCGCTAGCCAGAAGGCTACACTCAGGCTGGAAAGGAAAACATGGAGCCACCGCTACATATGGCAGCCGGAGGACAGCGGGCGAGCGCTGCGAAGTTGGCGCGGGTTGGGAAGACGCGAGGACGTCGGAGAGAGGGGCGAGCGCGGCACGGGGAGGACCCGTTTCCACGCATCGCCCTTCCACCCGCTCCCCTGCTCGCCGCCAGCGAGGCGAGGAAGGCACCTACCTGTGCCGGTGCTCATCGTGCCCTTGCCCGTGGATGAGGAAGCCGCCGAGGCTCTTGCCGCCTTTGCTGGTGTCCACATGGGGAATGAGCACATCCTCCAAGCCCAGGTCAAAGCGCTTGTGCTTCGAGGAGTCGGGGAGGAAGAAGAACGCCCCGAAGCACAGGGTGATGAAGGCACTGAGAATAAGGAGCAGGATAAATTTTTCGGAGAGTCTCAAGGTAGCCCTGTGGTGGGGGAAGGCGGAGGCGCCCAGGCTGAGGGG